GATTAGCAGCAACCGTAATGAAACTGCCATGGGAACAGCAGTCTGTGAATTTTTTTTAATGTGGCAGGGGAGGAAGCAAGAGAATATTTTGCAACCCTAGAAAGAGAGGTGGATATCCAGTGAATGAGATGACTATTATGATGGAAAGATACTGTAGAAAAAATAATTTGATTATTGACCAATTTAAATCAGGGACCACAAAATCATTCAATCAGTCCAGAGATTTCCTGAGTAAAAATTGCCATTACGGAACATTAACAGAGGAAATGATACAAGACTAGATTGTAGTTGGCGTAAAAGATAGTAGATTAAGATGAAAGCTTTTGAAAAAAGAGGATCTGATGTTAGAATCAGAGATAATGGAGATAATAAGGATTAAAGAGGTGACAAAAATAAATATGAGACACGGAGAGAGAAACAAAAATCAAAATAGATGAACTAGCCAACAGACAAAGTGGGAATGAAACAGATGAAGAGTATAAAGACCAGAGAATATACAGGCCAAGCAAGAGGTCAACCAGAATGGACAAATGTGGCAAATACGGATTAGAACATCCTATGAGGTGATGTCCGCAGAAGGAAAAGAATGCTATCAATGCAAAAGATATGGGCATTATTCAGGAATAGACAAATGTATAGAGAAATAGCAGATATAAAGCACAGGAGAAAAGTCGAACAGAAAGAAGAGAGCACAAGTGGCCAAATAACCCGAGGAGAAACCAGAAATGGGCAAATTAAAAATCATTCAGTGCAAGTTAGATACAGGAGCACAAGCCAGAGTAATGGCATGAGAAGAATGTATAAAATTGGGAGAACCAAATGAGGGAAAAAATGGAGAAAGGGAAAGGTAAACTAATGGCTTATAACAAAGCAAAAATTGAAACAGTGGGCAGAGTAGAGATAGAAGTGATGTACAAAGGGAGACAATATAGAATAAAATTCTACATTGTAAAAATAAAAGCTGATATGTTATTAGAACTGGAAAATATAATAAAAATGGGAATGTTGAAAAGAATTGAGAATGTGAAAATAGAGGAAAGTGAACCAAGGGAGACGGAAGAAATAGTAGGAAAATCTAAACAGGTGTTCGGAAAGCGGATTAATGAGAGGAGATTACACAATAAGATTAGAAGACACAGTACCAGTAATACAGCCATTGAGGAGAGTACCAGAGGCAATGGAAAAAAAGACTGAAAGAAAAATTAGACCAAATGAAAAGGGACCAAATAATAAAAAAAGTGGACAAACCCACTGAGTGCAGTGGTAATCAGAGAAACCATACAAATCATTAAAGACATGTTTAGATCCACAACAGTTAAACAGGGCTATTAGAAAGGGAACAATATGCAATTCCCACTTTAGAAAATGTGCATGCTTCACTACACGGAGCTAGTTACTTCTCGATATTGGATTGCTCCTCGGGGTATTGGCAAGTCAAATATCAAAGGATAGTATGTAATTGACAAAGTTTATGACACCGTATGAGAGGTAATGCTTCCAAAGAATGCCCTTTGGCATCAAAAAATAATAATATAATCCTGCATTAGATCACGTCTTCGAGAAGTCTCAAAGCGCTTCACAGAATACACTGTAAAGGGAATTGACTGTATTTTTGTGGGCAAAATGCAGCAGCCAATTGCACACAGCAGTGTCCCACAAACAGTTGTGGATTGAAGTGACCACATTTTTATTGGTTTTTTTTCTTGAGGGATTATTATCAGGCGTGTGGAGTAAGGAAACCTGCCCAAGGTTTCGCCCTGCAGGGAATCAAACCCAGGTGTCTTGGTTGTAAGGCAAGTGCTTTAAACACTGAGCTACAGGACTTAAGTCAGCACAAGAGATGTTTCAGAAAAANTTGTCACAAATATTAAAAGAAATACTAGGGGTGATCAGTTATATTGACGACATTTTGATATCTTGTAAAACATGGAAAGAACACAATGGAAGGTTGGAGAAGGTATCAAAACAAATGTTTGGAAGAAAATATAAAGCTAAACAAAGAAAAATGCAGGCTGGGAGTAACAGAAGTAAAATTCTTAGGATATATCATTGCCCAAGAAGAGTTAAACATTGATCAGCAAAAGATAATAGCAATAACAAAAGTGCCTGCACCGATAGATTTTTAAAAAAAGGAGTAAAAAAGCTAATGGGAATGGTAAATTGGGTGGCAAGATTATTGTAAAAGTAACTGAAATAATAGAGCCAATAAGGGAGCTGATAAAAGAAAAAAAGAGTTCACGTGGGAAAAAGAACAGAAAAAAGCATTTCAGCGAATAGGAGGCTATAACAAAAGCTCCAGTATTAACATTTTATAGTGTATAAGGGCCCGTTAAGATATCTGTAGATGCAAGTAAAACAGGGTTAGGAGTGACCTTAACTCCAGAAGAAAAGACTGTAACCTATGCATCGAGAGCTCTATCAGAGACAGAATAAAATATGCACAGATGGAGAAAGAGTGTTTAGCAGTTTTATTTGGATGCAAAAGATTTAAGCAATATGTATTTAGAAAGAAAGTAATAATTGAAAATAATCACAAACCATTAGTGGCAATTTTTTGGAAGGGACTAAACGAAACACGAACTAGGTTACAGAGAATGAGAATGCAGCTACGAAGGTACAATTTAGAGTTTAGAAATAAGCCAGGAAATACCATATACATGGCAGATATACTAAATAGGGCCACATGTCAAAATGGAAACAAGGAGGATAAACAATTAGAAAGGGAAATGGAGTTCCAGGTGTGGGAAATCACAAAAGCAACAAGACGTGATAATGAAACAATAGAGGCAAACAAAAAGGATAAAGTGAGTAAGGAAATTCAAACGATGTTGAACAAAGGTTGGCCAGAAAATAGAAAAGATGCACCAGAGGAGATGTGATTATGTTGGGAGTATAGAAATGAAATATATCAGAAAAAGGGAATAATATATAGTGGGCATATAGAACAATAATTCCAAGAGAACTAAGAAAAAATTGAGAAACTTACATGAAAGGCATCGGGGAGTAAAAAGAGTGAACAGAAGAGTAAGAGTAGTATTTTGGCTGGACATAAGCAAAAGAATTGAGGACTACATAGGAACGTGTGAAACATGCTCGAGACATCAAAATAGAGAAAGGCATCAACCTATAATGAGGCATCAGAGACCAAACACATCATGGACAAAAATAGGAACAGATTTGTTTTGTTATAATGGGAAAGATTATTTATTGATAGAAGACTATACTTTGAGGTATAGTAAATATGCAGAATTAAATGATATAACTGCAGAAACAGTAATAGACAAGACTAAAGAAATCTTAGCCAGGCATGGAATATCTAAGGAATTAATAAGTGATAATGGGCCACAATTTGCGAAAATCGCAAAACAGTGGGACATAGACCACAGAACATCTTCACCAAGATATCCATGAGCATAACATAACATGTAGGAGCAGGAGTAGGCCACTCGGCCCTTCGAGCCTGCCCCGCCATTCAATCATGGCTGATCTTCTAATCGAACTCCAGCTAATAACCTAACCCTGTCTTGTCCCCATATCCCTTAATCCCTTTTACAATAAGAAATCTATCAATCTTAGTCTTGAATATGTTCAAGGACTGAGCATCTACAGCCCTTTGGGGTAGCGAGTTCCATACATTCACCACCCTTTGAGTGAAGAAGTTCTTCCTCAACTCAGTGCGAAAGGGCTGGCCTCTGATTTTAAGATTGTGACCCCTGGTTTTAGTTTCTCCAACCCGGGGAAACAATCTCCCACTATCTACTCTATCATGCCCTTTGATGATCTGATAGGTTTCTATAAGATCCCCTCTAATTCTTCTATATTCTAGAGAATATAGGCCCAAATTGGTCAGCCTATCCTCGTAACTCAACCCCTTCATCCCTGGTACTAACCTAGTAAATCTATGCTGCACCCCCTCCAAGGCAAGTACATCCTTCCTTAAATGAGAATACCAAAACTGGACACAGTATTCCAGGTATGGTCTCACCAGGGCCCTGTACAGTTGCATCAAGACTTCCCTACTCTTATACTCTAATCCTTTCATAATGAATGCTAACATACCGTTCGCCTTCCGAATTGCTTGCTGCACCTGCAGACTAACTTTCTGTGATTGGTGTACAAGGACACCCAAGTCCCTCTGGACGCTAACACATTCCAATCTCTCCCCTTCTACTGTTTTTGCTACCTAGGTGGATGACTTCGCTACATTATACTTCATCTGCCACCTACCTGCCCAATCACCTAACCTATCTATGTCTTGCTGCATTTTTTTAATGTCGTCCTCTGTGTTGACACTTCCTCCTAGTATTGGGATGGTGAAAAGAACAATACAGATGATACAGAAAATGTGAAAGAAAGCCGAGGAATCAAAGGAAGATAAACACTTGGCATTACTGGTCTACAGAAATATGCTGATAGATAACAAGGGAGAGTCACCGGAACAGATGCTGATGTCCAGAAGATTAAGAGATGGGCTAATATGGGAAGAAATAAAATTGAGACCACAGGTACAGAGAAAAAGAAATTGGAAGAAACCTTTTTTCTGGGTTAAAGGAAAAATTTGGGGGAAGGATAAGAACCCCAGATTGTACTGGGTAAAAGATGAAAAGGAAAGATATATGGACGAACATCATGGGAGATCAAACAAAGCAAAATAAAGAAAATACAGGATAAAAAGGAAAAGCAGAAGAAAGATCAAGGAGTGGCAGAAACTGTAAGAACAACCAGATGCGGAAGAGAAATAAAAAGACCACACAGAATGATAGAACAAGATTGGGAAAAAAAGAGAAGAAACTAAGGAGGAAAATGTTCCATATTGCCTTAGTGACTTAATTGGCAATTGGAAATTGACAATGAGAAGCAAGGGTCTGGGAAAGTGACTGGACAGATTGTGGACGTGTAAGGTTTAACTAAAGGAACTGATGAATTGAAACTGTGTTTGGATTTAGAAACATTGCAGCAGGTTGAAGCAATAGTATTGTGGATTGTGTCAGTATACATACCAGTAAAATATCAAACACACAAGCTGAGGGACTGAAGTTGCCAGATGAAGCTGTTGCCAATCAGATGTTATGAAAGCAATACCAGCGAAGACCATCATTCCAATGCTAAAGGCCAGGGATAAAATTGCTGGTGGCCAGACACGATGCTTAGGTGCACTCCATTCCACCACTGTAAAAATAATAAACCAGTGTTGCATTTCCACTTGCATCAGCATTTTCCTTGCTGCTTTCAAAACCCTATTAAAATCCTGTCTCTTTGGCGAATAACCTTAGCATCTCAGTCCTCTCACTGTTTGGGTGCTTCTTATTATCTTGTCGAGATGGTTCTTGTTATGTGAAAGACATTTTGTACAGAATCATATTGAGGACATTGCTTGGGCCTTTTGTTTCAACTAGTCTGTACCAGTATTTAAGAGCTCCCAGTCCAATGGAAGAGTAATCCATTCAGTATCATGTACCTGCCTTTTCCCCATACCCCCGACGTTCATTCTTTTTTAGATAATACCACTCACCTATACCCATCAATTTAAGATAGTTGCCAAATGAGCAAGTGGGGAGGTTAGGACAATTTTTTTTCACACACAGTGTAGTTAGGATATGGAATGCCCCACTGGGAATGGTGATTGAGCAGAATCCATATTAGCTTTTGAAAGGGAACTAGACAAATACACAGATAAGGGGTCAAATGCAGGGTAATGGGGAAACGGCAGGTAAATGGGACTGAATGGATTGTCAAGCACCTTGGGACGTCCTCATTTACTCCATTTGTGCAGCAATTTAGTGTGCAGAATTTGATAAATTGGTTAATTAAATCTAAGCTTCACAGTCAGTATTCCGTAGTTCTTAAAATAACTTACAGAAAAACGGTATTAGAGTTAAAGCTAAAAATTAAGAATTTGCCAAATTCTGATTTCACCAAAGTTGTACAGAAATAAAACCTAGTAAATCTAGACCCAGTGGAATTTCTCCACCTATATCTATATAAAATGTGTCACACCTGAAAAATAAACATATACAATACATATACAAAGTGTTGGAAGTTCTCTAGCACTGCATAGGCGTGAGCAAATTTTCTAGACAATCGACAACAACAATTTGCATTTATGTAGCGCATCTCATGTAGGGTAGCATCCCAGAGTGCTTGACAATGGTGAGGCATGACGCTGAGTTAGGAGGGAGGAGGTGACCATAGGGATGTTTGAAGAGGAAGGTTTTCCTTCGATAAGGAAGGGGCAAGGTAGAGGGATAGAGGAAGAGTGTTCCAGAGTTTCAGGGCAAAGTGGCTGGAAGCCACCAATGGTGGAGCAGACGGCATGATGGACATACAGGAGACAACAAAACGCAGACTGTAAAATGGAAAGCTGAAGTCAATTTGTTTCTATTTACCTAAACTAAAGGATGTGATCATGATCCCACAGCAAGTCATACCAGTCAGGAGGCGAGTAAGCAGATAAAAGATGGCATGAGGAATAAATGCCAACATCAGACCCAGCACTGCTTGTATGGTGACGCTGCCAAGGAGTAGACCTTTTCTGCCATACCTATTGGAAACCAATTCACATGATTTAATGCTTCAAAGAAAAAACTTTCCAACATGCCAGGTATAACTAAACTTGATAGTACTATTTTCTTTGACTAAATTTGTTTCTAATTTCAGTAACAATATAGAAATAACTGTTCTGTGCACTTGATACAGAGCCTGTTACTACAACAATAAATTACATTTGTATACGGCCTTTCATGTCGTGAGGACATCCTAAAGTGCTGGACAGTCAGGGATTTTGACCTGAGCTGGGGATTGAGATTAGGTGGGGTAGGAGGATGACCGAAGGAGTAGTTGAAGAGAAGGGTCTTGAGACAGTCCTTGGAGGAGGCAAGGGAGCGGACGAGGCAGAAGGACTGTGGGATGGAGTTCCAAAGGGTGGGGGCTGCAGTCCCAACTGCCGACGGTGGGGAACATGGAGCAGCCCGGAGCCCGCTGAGCGGAGTGAGCAGACAGGTGTTTATGGAGATAGCAGGTCACAGAGGTAGGGAGGACCTCTGTGGTGCCTTGTCATGTCAAAATGTCTCAAAATACCTCACAAATAATTGTTGTTAAATGTAGTGACTGTACTTGTAGGCAAGGTACTCACCAAAGTGATATTAGTGCTTAAAATTAGCAATAAAATGCAACAGCCTGAAATAAAACTCATCCTACACTTCATGGCTGTTTGTGAGACATTGCTCTACGTTGGCTAATACTTTCGCCTACAAATATACAGTCAAGACACTTCCCAGTAATATCCTGTGAAATGGTTTGAAACGTTTCAACGATGTACTAGGGTGCTATATCAAAGGCAAGGACTAATGTTAGGCAGAAATTGTGGTAATTAGAAGAAACAAAATCATCAATGCCTTTCAGCCATTGCACTGCTGGAGGTGTGAAGCCAGCACGTCCAGGCCGTGAGAGCTGAAGAAAACTGATGAAGGTAGAGTTGGATTATCAGATAAAGAATGGCTATCATGAAAGAATTATTTAAAAGGTGACATTACAGTACAATACAAAATTACATTTGTATAGCACCTTTCATGTTGGGAGAACATCCCAAGGTGTTGGGTCTTATTCACGCTTTTAATGCGTTATTTGCAAGACAGCAAAATCAAAAAATGGGACGGTAAGCAAAACACGCAATTTAAGATTCACAATACGAATTACATCACTAATTTTGCAATCAATTTGTGAATAACACAGATCAGATGCCATTATACAATTCCCTATGAGGTCTAAGGTATACTCCTACCTGTCTGATATTATCCCACCAACGATTGAACAGAGCAGAAGACCGGTCATGAACATAGTCTGGCCGTAAGCAATCACATGATGTTCATCACACTTCACATCCATCTGGTAAAGAAACAATTTCATAAAGGAAACACCATTACAATTTTGAATTTAGGCAGCAATTGCTTCCCAGCAGAACAAACTTTTTTTTGAAGGAACAAATGAATCCGAAAAAGGTGATAAATATAAAATTTAATGGTGGAGTATTTGAACAATGATGTAACATAATATTAATAACAGGTTGTAAATAAGTTCACAAAGCTTCCTAGAATATGTTGTAATTCATTGAACATGTTGTACTTTCCAGAACTTGTTGTACAATATGTAAACATAGTGTATTCCTTCTTTCTTTCCTTCCTTGTAACATATTGGTTAGAACGGTAGCATATTGTTTAGAACCCTTGCCTTGCAAGTGAGAAAACCCGGGTTTGATTCCTGGGGAAGACAAACCCTTAGGCAAGTTTTCTTATTCCACACATCTCTATTTACCTAGCAGTAAGTAGGAACCCGCTTGTTAGTCGATTGGCATATTGCTTTTCCAGGGGTAATAATCCCTTCAAAAAAAATTGGTCACTCAATCATTTGCTGTATGTAAATTGGCTGCCGCATTTCGCCCATAAGATATTCAGTCAATTCACATTACAGAATATTCTGTGAAGCGCTTTGAGACATGATAAGGTGGAGTCCTGTAGCTCAGTGGTTAGAGCACTCGCTTTGCAAGCGAGGGACCTGAGTTCAATTCCAGACAGAGCGAAACCTTGGGCAAGTTTCCTTACTCCACACGCCTAATAATAATCCCTCCAAAAACCAAAAACAATAATAAATTGGTCATTTTCAATCTACAACTGTTTGTGGGACATTGCTGTGCACAATTGCCTGCCGCATTGCCCACAAATATACAGTCAATTCACTTTACAGTGTGTTCTGTGAAGCGCTTTGGGACGTCCACCCGATGTGAAAAGCGCTATATGAAATGCAAGGATTATTATTATTATTATTATTGTTACTATTATTATTATATCAAATGCAAGATATATTATCATAAAGAGGAGAAACTGGAATACGGAGATACCTTGAGCATCCGGTCATTAGACTCAGACCACCTGTTTAATTTGCTCAGACAACAACAACAACAACAACAACAAGATTCCATTTATAAAGCGCCTTTCACGTCAGGAGGACGTCCCAAGGCGCTGCACAGTTGGGTCAGGACCCGAGCAGGGGGGGAATGGTCAGGGTGAGGGGAGGGAAGGGAGGGAGCAAGGAGGGGGAAATGGTCAGGGTGAGGGGAAGGAAGGGAGGGAGCGAGGAGGGGGGAAATGGTCAGGGTGAGGGGAGGGAAGGGAGGGAGCGAGGAGGGGGAAGAGAGTCGAGAGGGGAGCTGAAGGCTCGGTCAAAGAGAAAGGTTTTGAGACCGGCCTTGAAGGAGGAGAGGGAGGAAGCAAGGCGAAGGCACTGGGGGATGGAGTTCCAGAGCCTGGGGCTGAGAGGCTGAAGGCCCGACCACCGATGGTAGGGCGGTTGGGGCGGGGGACGTGGAGCAGACCGGAGCCAGAGGAACGGAGGGTACGGGCAGGTAGGTAGGGGGATAGTAGGTTGGAGAGGTAGGAGGGAGCAAGGCCGTGAATGGCCTTGTAGGTGAGGATGAGGATCTTGAAATCAATCCTCTGGGGGATGGGGAGCCAGTGGAGGCGAGCGAGGGTGGGAGTGATGTGGTCCCGAAGCCTGGTGCGGGACAGTACACGAGCTGCAGAGTTCTGAATGACCTGCAGCTTGTGGAGGGAGGTGGCGGGAAGGCCGGCGAGGAGAGAGTTCCCATAGTCCAGCCTTGAGGTGACAAAGGCGTGGACCAGGGTTTCAGCAGCGTGAGGGGTGAGGTAGTGCCGTAGTCTGGCGATGTTCCGGAGGTGATGGAAGGCGGTGCCAGTTGTGGTGCGGATGTGAGGGAGAAAGGACAGCTCAGGGTCGAACAAAACGCCGAGGTTCCTGACTGGCTTTGAGAGGTGGAGAGTGCAGCCTTGGATGCTGATGGTGTCGGCGCCTGAGGTGCGGAGGCGCTGACGTGAGCCAATCAGGAGGGCCTCGGTTTTTCGCACGTTGAGCTGAAGAAAGTTGTCTCTCGTCCAGGACTCGATGTCGGACAGGCAGGCTGTCAGGACATCGGTGGTCGTGGAGTTGAGAGTAGAGGAGGAAAGGTAGAGTTGGGTGTCATCCGCATACATGTGGAAGTTAACTCCATGTCTGCGGATGATGTCACCAAGGGGGAGCATATAGAGGGTGAAGAGGAGGGGACCGAGGACAGAGCCCTGAGGGACACCACATGAGACAGTGCGGGGGGTGGAGGAGAAGCCATTTGTGAGACAAAGTGAAGACGGTGAGAAAGGTACGACCTAAACCACTCAAGGACAGTGCCTTGAAGGTTGAGGTGGGAGGACAAGCGGTGGAGTAGGATAGCGTGGTCGACCGTATCGAATGCTGCCGATAGGTCGAGGAGGACGAGGAGGCAGAGGGAGCCCTGGTCACAGATGGTCAGGATATCATTGGTGACCTTGACCAGGGCAGTTTCTGTGCTATGGGCAGCACGGAAACCTGACTGAAGGGGTTCGAAAAGTGAATGGGTGGAAAGGAAAGAGCGCAGTTGGGAGGCGACAACTCTTTCCAGGACCTTGGAGAGAAAGGGGAGGTTGGAGATGGGCCGGTAGCTTGATAGCTGCGACGCATCAAGGGAGGGTTTTTNCAGGGTGGGCGTGATTGTGGCAGTTTTTAAAGGAATGGGGACAGAGCCAGAGGAGAGGGACAGGTTGACGATGTCGGTGATATGTGGGGCAAGAAAGTGGAGCTGGGAGATAAGGAGTGGAGTGGGGATGGGGTCAAGGGAGCAGGTGGTTGGTTTCAGGGATAGGATGAGTTTGGTGACAGAGGGTGGGGACCTCATTGCCTTTTAACGATTGGGGGCCCAAATTTGCATTGGGGGTGGGAGTGGGGTGGGGAAGGGCAACCTAATTTAATGTTTGTGGAATGTGATAAGTTTTAGTTTATCTTAGTGGGGCTGAGTGGGGAAAATCTCACTCACCCCAAAAAAAATATCATTTCATGTGTCAGAAAGTAATCTTCACCAAGACAATGCTTGGAAATGTTGCACTTGATAAGAAGAGTTGGGAGTAACATCAATCTTCATAATTAATAAAACACAAAATATTGCAGATGCTGGAAATCTGAAAACAAATCAGAACATCTGACGAAGGGTTATTGAAACGTTGACTCATTTTCCTTTCTCCATAGATGCTGCCTGACCTGCTGAGTGTTCCCAGCAACTTCTGTTTTTGTTTTCATAATTAATAATCTTTGCACTTGATATACTGCATTATCATACAGTCGAGATGTCTGAAAGTACTTCACAGAATTTTACTATGAAGTGCAGTGACTGTGTATTTTGTAAGCAAACATGGCAAGCAATTTTTGCCCACAGCAATGCCCCACAAACAGCCATGAAATCAGTGACCAATTTTATCTGGGGGATTGTAGGCCAGAACACCAAGAGAAACTCCATTCTTTTTTTGAATAGTAACATGGATATAAACCCCACCTGAAAGACGACACCTCCGACAATGCAGTGCAACTGCATCCCCAGCCATGTGGGAAAAGGTCAGAATTGGCTGTGATGCCCTTACAGTTATATCCTGGCACCTCCAGATCTCTCTGATCTGTTTACTAACCAACCCAGTACCCGCTGCCTCCGCTGAACTGGCTCCAGCCTCCTGCTTGTCCCTTGTGGTCTCCATTCCACCATCAGTGGCCTCGCTTTCAGCCACTATGCCCAAAATAATGGAACACTCTTCCTCTATCCCTCTGGCTTGAACACTCCTTCCCCATCATTCCTTTTCAACGGACCTACAGTCACTTACCCCTATCCCGCAGGCCCCCAGCTTGGCATCGGGCTCCTCCATTGTCAAGCACTCTAGGGTGCTACCTGTTGTTGTGCAGTCAAGTAGACTATGTTAATATTCACTGCTAAGGCTCACATGAAAACAATAGTTACTTGTCTGAGGTACTGGAGGATCTGGTTACCAGCACCTCAGGAACTGAACCCCAGCAAAAGCAGGTCAGACCAGGAGCAGAGAGACGTACGCCAGTGAGAGGAGAAATTAGACAAAATAATTGGACCCACTGAACTTTAAAAAAAATGTTAGGACCAATGATGACAATGATAATAACAATAAAAAAAAATCCTGCTATTTGATGTAGAGCCTTTCCCGTGGATATATTAAAGCATAATGACTGTGTATTTTATAATTAAAAATACTACAATACCATCCAGTGTTGTTGAGGCTTACGGTTAATTTTTTTCCAGATTCTACTACCCGCTGTTTATATCACATTTAAAACTGCATTGTTGTTAGTAATTAAAAATCCTTGTCCTGAACTTTAAACCGCTCCACACTGGATTTTTTGTGGACTTGGTGACAAAAAGATTTGCGGGCTCCATTTTCATTATAAACTCTATTTATAAATAATGGGCACAGTGGCAGCCTGACTTCCTAAAACGAGTAAATTTACCTAGGAGTAAGTAGGAACCCAGTTGTTAGTCGATTGGCTGATACTTTCCAGGGGGAATAATTCTTTAAAAAATTGTTGTCACTCAATCCACGACTGTTTGTGGGAGACCACTGTGTGCAATTGGCTGCCGTGTTTTTCCCACAAAATATACAGTCAATCCACTTTAATTGGAGTGCTTTGAAACATCTTGACAACATGATGATGATAATAATAATCCTTGCATTTGATATAACTTTTTTCACATCTTCTAGACGTCTCAAAGTGCTTCACAGAACATACTGTAAAGTGAATTGACTGTATACTTGTGGGCGAAAGGCGGCAGCCAATTGCACACAGCAATGTCTCACAAACATTTGTGGATTGAAGTGACCAATTTTATTATTGCTTTTTTTCTTGAGGGATTATTGGCAGGCGTGTGGAGTAAGGAAACTTGCCCAAGGTTTTGCCCTGCCGGGAATCGAACCCAGGTCTCTCGTTTGTGAGGCAAACACTCTAACCACTGAGCTACAGGAGTCCCCAAATGATAAGGTACTATGTCAAATGCAAGGATCATTATTGTTATGATTATTATGCTCTTGTTCAATTGTTTTGTCGCATCCCAAAATATTGATCTGGGTTTACTTTTTTAATCCCATTTAAAATATTAGCCATCTCTATGAGGTCCCCTCTAATCATCTTCTCTCAATTTCTATAGCTGTAAGACTGAAGAGCCCAAGCTTGTCTACAACAACAACAACAACTTGCACATATATAGCACCCTCCACACAGGGTAGGGTCTCAGAATGCTTAGCAGTGGTGGAGCCTGACTCCGAGCCGGGGGGGCTAGGTGACCGTAATCATGATTGAAAAGGAAGGTTTTCATGCGGGACTTGAAAAGGGGGAGAGAGGGGGCAAAGTGGAAGGATTGAGGGAGAGTGTTCCAGAGTTTCGGGGCTGAAAGCGCGACCTCCAATGGTGGAGCAGAGGGTGCGAGGGACAAGCAGGATGCTGGTGCCAGTCGAATGGAGGCGCCGTGTGGTGGATTGGGGAGCGAGGAGGTCAGAGAGGTTGTGAAGTGCCAGAAAGTGAATGGATTTGAACACGTGTGTGAGGATCTTGACATCGATATGTTCGGTGATGGAGAGCCAGTGGAGCCAGGCCAGAACTGATGATGATGGTGGTACAGCGTTTGTTCCGGGTAAATGTGCAATGAAAGTATGCAAGTAAGTTTAATCATTGTTCATAGCTACTTCCTCTAAACACGGGGATATCTTTGTTGTTCTCCTCTGGATTGTCTCTAGGGCCTTATGACATGGTGACAGGAGCTCATGTTGGCTGTCATTTATGAAATTATTTTTATATGGATGATCTTCCGTTTCCCTTCCTTGATTGGCTCCATTATTTTCCTCCAATTATTGATGGCAGACTAATGGGTCTATAGTGCCAGGTTTAGTTTTGTCGTCTTACATGTATACGCGAACAATATCTGCTTTCTTTCTTTCAGTCTGTTGGAAATCCCTCGTCCTGACCGACTCCCTCGTAAAGTATGTCAGTGCTGCACAAATCTACTGCTATATCTTCCAAAGTATCCTGGGTTACAGTTCATCCATCCCAGGGGATTTTTTGGTTTGAAACCCCTTGAACCAATATGGTATGTTGCCATGGTCATCACTTCTTACTTTGTTCAGGTTCAAAGCTGGCAGTATTTTTGACCTAATGCACTTAACACAAAAACTTGGCTGGGTGCAGGAAATTAGCAGGCCGACTGCACATATATATATAGTCATAAGCAAATTTATAAGTGCTTTATAATGGAGCTGCAGTATACACACTCAGTCCAAAGTATTATCTGTTAGTAACCAATTTGCACTTTACTCTTATTAATCACAAACAGAGGGAAGCTTGCCAGACAATGGTCTCAATAGTAGACTGTGCAGTTTTAGCTGGTTAAACCCCAATAGTACCCCAATGGGGCACCCCAGATTGTGACACCTCGCCAGGTGGCACACTCTGGGGTGCCTACATTTTGGCTTTATCAACCTGCACCAACTACTCTACTGAATTAGGTAAGCGGTGTGAGTCCCTCCAGAGAGAGAGTAATAATAATAATAATAATCCTTGCATTTGATATAGCGCTTTTCACATCTTCTAGATGTCTCAAAGCGCTTCATAGAATATGCTGTAAAGTGAATTGACCGTATATTTGTGGGCGAAACGCGGCAGCTAATTGCACACAGGGGTGTCCCACAAACAGTCATGGATTGAAAATGACCAATTATTTTTTTTGAGGGATTATTATCAGGTGTGTGAAGTAAGGAAACTTGCCCAAGGTTTCGCCCTGGAATTGAACCCAGGTGTCTTGCTTGCAAGGCGAGTGGTCTAACCACTGAGCTACTGGACTCCACGGACATTCCATTTCAGACACAGGGAAATTTCCATGCAATAAATTACATTTGTGTAGCACCTTTCACATCGAGAGGACATCCCAAAATGTTGAACAGTCAAGGATGTGCACCCGAGCTGGGGGTTGAGATCAGAAGGAATGGAGGATAGGGAGGCTGGGGGAAGGAGGGTGACCAAAGGAGCAATCAAAGAGGGATGTCTTGAGACAGGCCTTGAAGGAGGTAAGGGAGGGGGCGAGGTGAAGGGACTATGGGATAGAGTAGAGGGTCAGGCCAGAGAGGTTGAAGATCCAACCGTCAATGGAGGGGCGGGCAGGGTGGGAGCATGGAGTAGGCCAGAGTCTGTCAAGTGGAGAGCGCGGACAGGCTGGTATGGATTTAGCAGATCACAGAGGAAGGGAGTGACAACCTGTGAGTAAGCAAGGTCTTGGCAGCCTGAAGCTGAGCAATGATGTGGAGGTGGAGCATGGATGTGCAGTAGAAAGTACAGGTGGAGTGTGTACCTATGGATGGTGATGCTGTCAGCGCCTGAGATGTGGAGGCATTGACGGGAGCCATTCAGGAGGGCCTCGGTCTTGTTGACATTCAACTATAGAAAGTTAGCTCTCATCCAGGAATTTATGTCTGATAGAAATTCTGTTAGGACAACAGTGGTCCTGGAGTCAAGGGTGGAGGCAGAGAGGTAGAGTTGGGTGTCATCTGCATATGTGTAGAAGTTAACCCTATGTTTGTGAATGATGTCACCAAGTAGGAGCATAGGTATCGAAGAGGAGGGGGCCAAGGACAGAGCCCTGAGGAATGCCGCAGGTGATGGTGTGGGGGTAGGAGGAGAAGCCATTCATGGACACCACGAAGTGGAGACGACAGGAAAGGTAAGTTTTGAAGCAGGAAAATGGAAGACCATGTGGATTGAGCTGAGAGGCTAGGCAGTGAGTGGAAAAGGATAGAATGGTAGACAGTGTCAAAGGGGCAGAGAGAACAAGGAGGACAAGGATGTGGAGTTAGTCCTGGTCACAGGTGGATGTTGTTGTTGTCACTTTGACCAAGGCTGTGTCCGTGTGGTGGACAACACGGAAACCGATTGGAGGGGTTTGTAGAAAGAGGGACCATCTCAAACATCTCTTTTGTAGATAAAGGGACATTGGAGATGGAGCAATAATTGGAGATCAGAGATGGTGTTAGAAAATCCAAATAAGAGACACTCGCTCGAATGGATTATATTGGTTCCTTAATACTCAGAATCCCAATGGGTTAATACACTCGGTTAATTGCCCGCAAGCACGGCCATCGTCCCAACTATCTACTAGTTACAATCGTACTGGACACATAATTTCTGCGAGTACCACGGCCACTGTCCCAACTATCTACTAGTTATGGTCATACCGGACTCCTAATTCTGCGAGTACCACGGCCACCATCCCAACTATTTATTAGTTACGGTCGTACCGGACGCATAAACACGTCAACTGCCGAGTGTATTAATTCAGAGTATCCTGCCAAATCCCAAATTGTTAGAAAATAAAATCAGCCAAATCTGTAAGGAAATAACACTAATTCCTTTAACCAGATATCAGACTGTTTTATTATTATTCGTTCGTTATTCCCCAATATCCCGAAGGGTCAGACCAAAGGCCGGTACAATCAACAGATCTTATAACAGAATAATACCACTGTAGATATCTCGAGTTCAACACTGTAGCTTTACAACACACAAGCTTGATTCTTCATGCTTCCAGTCTTCTTGCTTACAGCTTTCAATCTTCCATCTGATATCCTCAGTCTTAGTGTTTCTAGCTCTCAGTCTTCCATCTCCCGTACCGTTGTCTCCGCGACCCGGGACGGCCCCATTTCCCGTATCCTTGTCTCCGCAGCCCGGGACGGCCCCGTACACAAAGTTATCGGAACACTTGTACCGATGTTCGTCCAATCATGGTGCGGACATTAGATCACCCGGTCTAAATCATGCTGGGTTCACGTGAACACCTCATGGGGTGTACGTGCCTCAGCACACGTACACATGGTCCTTAAGACCCCTGTTATCTGATGCTTGTTATTTTGTTAGGTGGGATCATTAGTACATTCCTTTTAAGTGACTGGTTATTTCTTATCAGTATCCCGGGATGGTACCAAGGTCCTCTAGTTTAAGCAACTTTCTCGTTAGCTGTTATTCTTGAGGGTTGCCTTTTGTTGCTCTTGAGGGTTAATCATGAGTGTCAGTCCAGTTGCCCCCCAAACTTAACTTAAAAGTTAACCCGTTCACCACATCTATTATGATTCTAACATTATACAAAAAGTGTAAATTCTAACAATGGGTCCAGGGAAGGTTTTTTGAGGATGGAGATGATGACGGCTATTTTCAAGGGAGTGGGAACAGTGCCAGTGGACAAGGAGAGGTTGACAATTGTTACTAGAGGGGCAAGAAGGTGAGGCTGGGATGTAAAGAGAAGCTTAGGGATGGGTTCAAGACTAGGAGGTGGTGGGCTTCATTTTGGACATGATGGAGGACAGAAAAGAGGGGGAGACAGCAACGAAGGTGTGGGGGGAAAGATGGTTAGAGGCTGGAGTGTGAGGGGGAGGTGATGGTGGTAGAAAGGCAGAGGCAGGCGAGCGAATCTCCTCACAGGTGGGGTTGGAGGAGAGGATGGGTGAGGTGTGAGAGGGTGGGTGGAGGAGATAGCTTGCATTGGACACACATAATTGAAACTCTCAGTCTGATTTCCATATTCTTAATCATGATGATGGGTTCCCGCATGTGTCAGTCACCCAGCTAAATGAAAATAATTCCACAATCTTATTTTTTCATCAGCCCTAGAAGTTACAGATATAACTGATTCAGTAGAAACTTCTACTTACCAAGTGAGATCCGTTCAGCGTTCCTAATGGGATGCTTCCATTTAGCCCAGAGGACGGTGTCTGCATTCTCTGATGTGCTGGTCTGTGCTGGGAGAAATTGCTGAATTCTTTTTCATGCTGAAAATCGTTCCTGCTTTCATTTGTGTTCAGACGTGAGCAGCTTGGATACACAGGTATGCTAAAAAGGTCTAGAAAGAACTCGAACGCTGTAAAAATAAATATCAGACAAAGTCTGCAGAGAAGAATGGTCTGATAACTCCCCATTGAATCTGAACCAAGCACGTCGTGTAGTTCCATTCACAATCCGTTACTGTGAAACATCAGCACCAAAACTCAGCATGCATATCATGCTGTTTTCCAAAAGTACACAGTTAATCTGCGGTTAACTAACTAACCCTAAAAAAATCTTTGTGGGGAAATCAGAAGTTAAACATTTATCTTTATACCGCTCTTGATTTTACAAAACATTCCGTTGGCATCAGTAAATGCCAGCAAATAAATGAAAGACACAGAGTACGATCATAAAGTTTGCAGATTTTTTGATAGAAAAGGCAGAACCAGCTGTCTAACAGAGACTGGCTTTGCTTCTGAGGGCAATGATCTCAAGAATTGCAAAATAGTTGTCTGTGTTTGCTAATCCAAAGTTTAGTGCAGTGAATGTGCTGCATTGTCGGATTTTCTCCGAGATGTTAAACTGAGGTCTGGTGTGCCTGTTCAGATGGACTTTAAAGATCCCATTGGTGCTACTCAAAAAGAGAAAATAATTTCTCCTGGTGTCCTGGCCAATAGTCCACTGAATAAAATTGATCATTCACTTTGTTGCTGTTTGTGGGACACTGCTGTATGCAAAAAGGCTGTCATGTTCACTTACAAAAAAAAATACAGTCACAGTGAATTCTGTCAACTACTTTGAGACATCCTCCTGATGTGAAAGGAGATATGTCAAATACAAGGATTATTATTATTTATATTTTGCTAAAATAGACAATGGGCATAGACACTAATACTATTCCATGTATTCCTCTTCCCTCATGCGAATTTGCTTGTACACATCACCCTTTTACATACTGCACAAACATAAAAATCATAAATACATAGACTAGCTAAATTCCCAGTTACTTTGCCAAATTCATACAATTATTGCCTTTAATTATTGGCAGATAGTGGATGATGAGAATGGAATCTGTTTGTCTCAGAATGTGTTTGTATCAGTCAAGCGCTCGAGGACACTACCCCATGTGAAGGGTGCTATATAAATGCAAGTTGTTGTTGTTATTTGTTGTTTCTGTAGACATCACCCTGTACTGTTTGTCTGTGCACGTGGCGGCTGGGTGGGGAGAGTGGAGAGTTCAGTTTCAGACGTGACAAATATGTGAAAATCTGTGCCAATTTTGTCTGTACCAACATCTATTGCCACATTCACATCAGCCACCAGAGTGGTGTGCTGGAAACCAATGATTGCCCATAGAACTGCATCCCAGCATGACTTGGTCAGACCACGTGCAGGGAGGCATATGCCCATGGGAGGAAAATTTAGAAAGAAACTAATTGGACACACTAAAGTTTTTAAAGAATTTGAAGTATGTAAACCAGCCAAATTCCCAGTCACTTTGCATAGCACATGCTCTTGTTTCCTTTAGTCATTGGCAGATGGTGGATGATAATGGAACCTGCTTGGACCAGAACTGTCAGGGATTGCTGCTCCAAAGTTTTTTTTTCTTTTAGATAAGGTCAGTAAAATTGTGCAATGAAATAGGTCAGATCTTGGTAACTATGCCAATGATCTAATCATTTTATGACCTGCACTGTATTTTTTCTGCAGTAACTATTTTTGTAAACATTTATGAAATGTTTCCTTTTTGATTATAGTATTTTTTCAGTGCAATATCAAAATGTCCCTAAAGAATAGAAATATTGCATGCACACGATATAGCAAACTTAAAGATATATTTTTGTCAAACTGAAATCTGATACTCACAAATAGATTAATTCCACTTAAATCTAATTTTTTACTCTATTTTTGTAGCATTTTAGAGCATCCAGAATTCAGGGAATTTTTAGACACAATCTTCATTTTAATAACTACAAAAGAAATGACAATTAATATTGAAATCAAAAATCTGCCAAATTCGGAATGCTCTAAATGCGAAGTGGTTTTTGTGGAGTCCTGAAGTGAATTGGTTAGAGCATTAATTCTGGGGTAGGGCGAAACCTCAGGCAAGTTGCCTTACTCCACACACCCATGTTTACCTAACAGCTAGTAGGACTTGGTGGTTAGTCAATCGGCAGATCACTTTCTGTGGGTAACAATCTCTTAAAACATTTTTAAAAAAACAATAATCATTTGCTCACTCAATCCACGACTGTTTGTGGGACACTGCTGTGTGCAATTGGCTGCTGCGTTTCTGCCACAAAATATGCAGTCAATTCACTTTACAGTAAATTCTGTGAAGCACTTTGAGATGTCTCGATAATGTGATAAGGCGCTTTATCAAATGCAAGGTTATTATTATTTTTATTACTTTGCAATGTCCTCTCATGGGAGGAGAAGCTGGGGGTTGGGGGAAAGATACCAAAAGCACAGTCTAAGAGGTAGGTCTTAAATCTGGCTTTAAAAGTGGTGGTGAGGTGAAGGAGTTCCAGTGAGTTGGGGCAGGGTGAGTGAAAGCTCATTGAGGAGCAGATCAGGTGGGGGAGTAGAAGCAATGATTTGAAATGCAGCCTAGTCAAGTGAAGTTACAGTATTTGCAGTCAAACACAGCACCAGCAAAATCCTACAAGGAACATGATGTGCATGACTATGTAATTTGGAAGATAGCCAGGGCACCTTGAGAAATGTTGAATAATGTCTGCCAGAAGAACATGCAGATAGGATCTTAGTAAATCCAAAGTTCAGCACTTCTGACAATGCAGCACTCTTCCAGTACTGACTGGGAGTGTCAACCTAGATGAGTTTAACTCCTGACATTGGTTTGAATTACCGACCTTCTGACCCAAAGGCGAGAGAGACAGCTGCTTCTTGAGTGAGCCAAGCTGACACTTCATATTGCTCAAATACACATCTCAATTCTAATGTGTGCAATCGGTTTTCACATGGAATTTGCACAATAAGTATGGGAAAATAGCAGCTTTCCTGCCATATGATGTTGTAACGCAGATTAGTTCTTGCGCATGATAAAACTAAGATCGAGCCCGGACTTAAATGGAGAGTTTTGCTAGTATTTTACAACGTAAACTGAACAATCCTGATTCCTGATTCTAAGAAAACATGCACCAGTAAACGTTATTACAATCATTGGATATGTTAGAATCTTTTCATAATTTGCCAAGTTCTTGATGGACATGACTTATTAAGCAGTATATCAAATGCATTCAGTTATCTCATTAAATTCCATTCTTTGAAGGTTTCCACCAGCTGCGGCAATAAAGCTATGATTGCCCCAATTATCCTTTGAAATCTTTGTAAATCAGATGAATATAAAGGACAAAGAAATAATAATAATAATCCGTGCATTTGATATAGCTCCTTATCAAATCGTTGAGATGTCTCAAAGCGCTTCACAGAATATCTTGTAAAGTGGATTACTTTACATTAACCAATGTTAGTTAACACTTGACAGGTTGACATTGTGAAACTTTAGTGATTGTAACCTAGAATACAAAAATAAATGGATGGATGTTTCAGTTCTGGTTTCTTTCATAAAATAATCCTTGCGTTTGATTTACTACTTTACTACATTGTCAAAGTCTCAAAGTTCTTCAAAGGATTGTACTGTAGTGAATGCTGTAGCATTTTAAAAGGTACATTTTGTTTAGAGGTAATAGATACACTCTAGAAACCCACATTGAGTACCTTCAGGCTATTTCACATGTAGTAGGAGAACCAAACCATTGTTGACCAGTTTTTTTTATTCCTTCATGTTATGGAATCCATGGGAAACTTGCAGTACTGGGAGGTGATCCATAGAGGCTGCTGTCTACCAACAAGGAATAAAGACATAAAAAGTTCCAAACTTTTAAGGCAGACAACTCGAGGGCAATTTTCCATTCGTCAAACAAATACCCAAGTAAAGGATATTTTGTAGACACAGTCATTCATGAGTCTTGATTGTCACCTGGGCTGAAACTCATTCTCTCATGGGGTCTTTCTGCCAAGGAATTTCCCAATAAAATGCCAGTTGAAATGAACTCATAGATCAATCTCGCTCAGCTACACTTATGCTTTGACAGAGGGCTATAATAATAATAATCCTTGCATTTGATATAGCACCTCATCACGTCTTCGAGGTGTCTAAAAACGCTACACAGAATATACTGTAAAGTGAATTGACTGTATATTTTGTGGGCGAAGCATGGCAGCCAATTGTGCACAGCAGTATCCCACAGTCATGGATTGAGTGAACAATTTTTTAAAAATTATTTTTAATCTTGAAGGGATTATTACCCTGGAAAAGCGATACACCAATCTACTAACAACCGGGTTCCTACTTACTGCTAGGTAACCAGAGTCGTGTGGAGTAAAGAAACTTGCTAAATATTTGGCCTTGCGCAGGAATCAAACCCAGGTCCTCTCGCTTGCGAGGTGAATGCTCTAACCACTATGTTTGAAACATGTTTGATACATTAATCTATCTTTCTCATTCAGGTACTGATTGACTAGCTGTGGAATTTAAATTTTTTTTATTCTGGTGCCAGGTAATATCAGCCAAAATTAGCACATGCTGAGTATTATTACAAGCCCCAGATTTAAAAGCAAATCCTCTAGTTATTTGTAGGTTTAAAGGGCATCAAAATGGCTTTTGGATGAGAAGAAACAAGAAGTGTGTGCTTTGCCCCAGTGTGCCCTTGTTGAGGGTGTGATCATGTGGAGCAGGAAGGTTCCTGTTGCAGGTCTTTAAGAGAACTCACTACAATGTGAAGAAGGAACAGATGTTGGCAAGAGGTGACGGCTGTGGAAGCCACCAAGCAGTCAAGAAGGGAGTGACGGAAGGAACTGAATAAGTTGCAGCCAAGTGCCACACTAAGAACGGATAAACATTAACAACATTTAGGATCGTCTGGCACAATTTAAACCAAGAATATAATAATAATAATAATAATCCTTGCATTTGATATAGCACTTTTCACGTCTTCTAGACATTTTTTTAAAAATAGAAGGATTAGGGGATATGGGGATAGGGAGGTAATTAGAGTGAGGTCTGAATTAGGTCTGCTCCTAATTCTTATGTTCTTATGTTCTTATCTCAAAGCGCTTTACAGAATATGCTGTAAAGTTAATTGACTGTATATTTATGGGTGAAACACAGCAGCCAATCAAGAAGGGAATTTCTCCTGATGTCCTGGCCAAGAATATTTCAGATTAGTGTTTGCATGGCTTTGCCATGTGCAAATTGGCTGCCGTATTTGTCTATAATAATAATAATTCTTGCATTTGATACAGCGCCTTATCACGTCTTCTGGATGTCTCAAAGCGCTTCACAATTATACTGTAAAAGGAATTGACTGTATTATATTTTATGGACAAAATG